ACCGGAGTGCAGAGAACTTTGCAGCAAACTGCCAAGACAGTTGTTGGAAAAGCTAATTAACTAGGAGCGGTATGAAGTCCACTTAGCATTATCCAGGAAAACTACTGCAGCAGAAATACCCTGGAGCTCAGGCGATGCAAAGGAAAAGGTACAGCTGAGCAACTCGCCAACGAAGAGTAACACCACCAGTAAATGGCATTCAGACGGACTGCAGTCCTGCTGGAAGAAGACACGGCGGAAGGGTTCACACCTGTCTTCAGAATACAGCAAACTCCTGACTCAGAGGCACAAGGGAAAAGACCTACGTAGTGATTCCTCCTTGAATAAAAAACCGGAATGCTGCTACCTCATAATACTTCAAGAGAGAGAGCAGTGAACAAACATGCGGAAGGGGGAACCGGACAGCCGCTGCAGGAGGAGCGGGAAGAGCAACCCCTCCCGTGTGCTTCAGTGCGCAGAGAGAGCTGGCTTGCCTCCGAACGGGGTGCAGCCGGCAGACGCGAGTGACAGGGATCTTGATGCGTGTGACGTGTTAATGATAGGAGGAACTGCTCACATTCACTCTGTGATCATACTCCCTTAGAACTGTGTTCATTCTACAGTGCACGATCATTCAAAAAAAAAAGGAAAAGAAAAGAAACCTACAAACTCCCTATAAATTAAACCCACACATAATGACTCATCTCAACCTTTCAGCGTTTCATGACTGAAACTGCCACTTAATAACTCAGAAATTATTTCTTCCTTCTCCTGGCTGCTAAGAAAGAAGGAGATCCTGCCATCTGCAATAATATGGATGGACCTCGAGCGCATCATGCTAAGAGAAGACACAAGAAGACAAACACTGTGTGATATAAAAAAAAAGAAAAAATATTTCTTTCTCCTTTTAGAATAAGACACCAATGACAAGAAAAAAGCCCCATTATCTCACTTCCTACTCAGGAACAGCATAATTCCCCAAACACTGTTCAAAGTCGTTCACAGAATTTGACAGTTCCTGTCCCGACAGCCATGACAACAGAACGCACGGGTTCTCTAAGCCACAGACATGGTCACAACTCTTTGATCAGTTACGCAATACTCTTTTTTATGGGCCAAAGGAAGCATCAGCTCAGGGTAATAGCTTAATGTTCATTTCAGGTTTCTGAAAGAACGGTGCTGTCTGGGGACATTTCTGGTGGTAGTCCTTGGGGGACAGGGAAGATTACCGCTGGCTTTCCACGTGTGGGGGCCAGAGATGCTGTTCAACACCCTGCAACGCACAGGGCAGGCCCCTGCCTGCCACACGGACACCTGGCTGGTCCCAGACGTCCACGGTGCAAAGACTGGAAAACCCTGAAATACATAATGATCTGCAGGCCTCCATTTGTATTCTTGTCTCTGGCCTCGCACGATTTACAGGCACACCTGCTAAGAATCTAATCAGACAGTATAAAAACTTCATAACACCGTTTTTATGGGAACGAAGTTACTTCGGGTAACGGTGTCCAAAGAATAACTTCGCTGACCCGAGTTAAGATTCAATGAATCATTTACTCAACATTTACCGAGCACCTATCATGTAATTAGGCACGGCCCTAAGCAAAAGCGACAGTGTTAAAAAAACGGACGGAATCTGAAGACTGCGGGTTCGGCTCCTGCCTGGCGCAGAGCAGCGAGCAGGAAAAAAGAAGCGGGACTTGGAAGCCGGACCCGTCTGGCTCCAATCCCAGCTGCGGCTCTGTCACAGACGGGTGACTTCGCTTCAGCCCCGCTCTCCCCGTTTTCCCGGCAGGTCCCACGGGGCCTCTCTCTCTCAAAGTGGGAGAGGATGAAAGACAGACAAAGCACAAAGTGTACCGCCTGGCACACAATCAGTACTCAATAATTAATTCAACAGCAAATTTTGAAGTTTCTACAAAGAGTAAGGTGCAAACTGCTAGTGTGCCCATGAAACAGGTGGCCACTGTAACTGCTACTGGGACAACCTGAGCTCAACTTCAGTGAAGCCGACATGCAAATGGCATGCAAATTCCTTCCAATTCCAGCTCCTCTCTCCATCTCCGGCCTTATCTCCCACCACCCACACCGTCTGTAATGCATCCCTGTGTTCCCGTAAGTGGGGACAGATCAAAAGATGAGATCTGATAGTAACCAAAACAGTGTCAAGCTAAAGGTCACTGTGAGAAAGGGAATTCTTCACCTGTAACTCTGGCAGCACACACAGGTGCTGGGTGGGCGAGGGAGACGGGGAGGACTGGGGGGGACAGTGCCCAAACACGAAAGGCCCCTCGGCCAGCAGTCTGTGCTCCTTGTGGTTAGGAGCCACAGGGCCCAGGTTTGTGTTCAGGGCCTGGGTCTACTGCACATGTGACCTGAGTCGAGTTACTGAAACTTCCTGAGGCTGAGTCGCCTGATATGCAAAGTAAAATAAAACAAAATGAATGGATTAATAAGCTTTAGCATCTCTTCCACTCAAAATTCTGATTCAGGCTTTGAAAATCTTTAAGACCAAAATGTTCCTTAACAATCCTCTGAAGGGAGGAGGATGAAATAAAAGGTTTTAGAGAAATGATGTGTCAAATTACAGGTTCCTAGGTTCAAAAAGATCACTTAGTGAAACAGCCTTGAAATCTGTGCTTAGTGATCGCTGAAAACACTGGGACTCTCAGTGACACCCAGAATTGTTCTTGTGTCGTAGCAGCTTCCTTCCTGTCAGGAATCCTTCCGGGGAGTTGCTTTCTGAAGCAAGCGTCTGCAGCTCTCCGAAATCCCTGCAGCTGAGCTGCTCCCGTTCTCGAGACAACGACACGGCTGCTCTGCCTTCAAGGGTATTCCACCCTCCCTTGGATTCCACTTATCACTGAGATCGCACCAACATTCCAAATAAGTAACAAAACAGCAATAGCAGAACAATTCTCTGACCTAGAGCAAGGGTAACTGTCAGAATATAGAGTCCGAGAGGCACTAGTAATCACCTCCCACACTCACTTGACAGAAAAGCATTACCTTTATTTCACTAACCCCTTAAGGATGAACTGGTTCAGTTTGTAAAAGAGTCTCTTAACTTATTTGACATTAAAAAAAGAAAAGGTAACCTTATTTAGAGATGATTTTTTTTCCTTTAAAATATCCCTAAAGAAAGTAATAATTTTGCTATCTCTGTTTATGTACTTAACATGCCGGGAATTTCTTCTACACACACAATTTCCTAAAGTACCACTGCCCACTGCGTTATCCCAGAAATCCTGTCCTCAAACAGAAAAGACAAGATGAGCCCTACTACTGTCACAGGGCACCACCAATCGGTGCTACACCCTTATGCAACCACAGAAACTGTACCATAACAAGTAGTAACAACAACAATGATAAGTAACAAACCTTTTACTTGCCTTCCAGCTGTGTCGTGAAATCTGCATTCTTAACTCTGCCGAGGACAGCACGGCTCATCCTTACATCATGTTGCATTGCAAACCATACATTTGAAAAGAAACAAGTTTTCTACATCCACTCTGGGAACATAACTAAAAATGTGCTTCATTTCATAGGACTCTTATACTGCCCTTCTACCAGTCAATGCGTTCACTTTCAAGAGTAGGCGTTCACCCCTTCAGTTTGCTTTCTTAGAAAGTAAGAGATTAGCATAGTGCTGATCACAACTGTTCACTGAACAACGTCAATATGAATTTGGGACTAAACTGACAGTAATCACAACCCTCCAATCCAGGGGAATAAAAATATAAACCGCTGACATATGTACTGGATACAGAATCCCAGAACAAGAGTGAAGGACACCCAGTACTGTATAAAGAAAACAAAATCCACCTCACCCACAGGTGTTTGAGGAGTTAGGAGTAACTTTTGTATCGAGATTATTTAAAGATTTCCCACGGCATTACACAAACCTTTCCAGTACCGGGAACTAATTTCTCTTTACCCACCACTAGATAAGACACGCATTTGAGGCTGACCCGGAAATCCATGTCCCATATGTCTACCAAAATAAGGACAGTTAGGAGTTATGAATTCTAAGAAATATGCGCTATATTAGGAACACGCTGACAAATATTTAAAGATTCTACAGCACAGAACACTTACTCAACAGAGACCTACTTGAAAAGACTCTCAAATCCATTCTAACGATGCTTTCTCTCCATCTAAGACCAGGGTGGATCCATATGGGCCGCTGAGTTTAAAGTCATATTGTGATTCTCTGGGTCTTTTTTAAGTGGGTCACGGGTAGTAGTGTCCAAAATGCCTCCCACATCCAGTGATTTTCAAACTTTAGGGTCCCTCAGTAACACGTAGGGCCCTTCCTACATATGCAGATTTGGGGGCCCAAACTCTGAATCTTATCCAAAGTGTCTTGTGAGGAGCCCCAAACCGGCATCTGTAAGGACCTGCCAGGTGCATCTGAAGCAGGTGGCCCAACAGCCCCCCTCTGGAACTTCTTACCCTAACAAGTTCCCAAAAGAACCCGTACTCCAGCCACCCCGACGATTTACAGACGGCGCGCAAGCCAAGGCTGTGAGGACTTGGGGTGCCGCTGCGAAGGACCCCGGACAGGCCCCCGACCCCCGGCCGGTGCATCGCCCCCCAGGGCTGGTCCTGGAGGAAGTGACAAGGTTTATGGCCATGGGGCCGCGTAATTTTCATTTTTCCATCAAGTGTCACTTGGCTCTAGAGAGAGCTGGGGAAAGAGCTTGGACTTTGAAGTCCCCGAGGTCTAGGTTACTACAAGTCACGTCCCAGGAGCCCTGCGTCCGTAACGCTCCAGGCTCAGTTTCCCCGTCGGTGCCGGTGCCGCGGGCTCGTACCGCCGCCCCCTGGGAAGGCTGAGCCGAAGCGAAACTAACTCGGCAGGTCTCGGGCACTTCCTGGCTCCCCCCAGCTCCGATCGGTTTTCCGGTCGCCCCGGCGGACGACCCCCCACCCCCCTGGCCCTCCCCAGACTGCGCGACCACGGGGCCTCAGCCGCTCAACGCCCCCCGGCCCGGCCCGACCCTCCACCGGCCACTCACGGGTAGGCATGGTGACCCCCAGCCGCGATCGCCGCCGCTCCGAGACTCAGCGGGGCCGCGCAGGACGCGCCAACGGCAGCATAACGCGCCGGCGCCGGGCCGCGGAGGGCCGGACGAGGCGAGGGGCGAAGGGCGAAGGGCGAAGGGAACGGGCGCGGACCGGCGGTTCGGGCTACGAAGCGGGCGACAGCTGCCGGGGCCGGCCCAGCTCCGCGCCCGACGACGCGGTGGCCGTCCTGACGCCCTGACGTCAGCACGTCGCCGGCGTCCAGGCCCCGCCCGGGAGCGGCCAACTCCGGGCGTGGGGGCTGTGCGGTGCAGGACTGCAGCTGAGGCCCTTGGGGAGGGTGGCGCGTGGAACACCTCCGGGCCCCCTCGTTTTGTTGTCCTACCCTAGTTATTTGTGTAAAATGCGTTTCCGTGAATCCTCACTCGAGGTGCATGGCACTGTTTGTTTCTTACAGGGGCACCCCTTTAGGAGGTCTGGGAGGGTAAGCAGGTTTGCTTTCAGAGCATGGGAACCTGTAGGCTTTTTCTTTTATGAGCTATTGAACTTGGACATGTTCCCAAAAGAACAAAAGACTGCGTTCCGCAGTCTCTGATAGCACTTTCATTGTTGTTTATTTTATTGTATTTTTTTGAGACGCTCTGAGGTCATTTGGGGTGATGGCTGCGCATTTTTGGAGAGGACAGAAACAGTCACATCCTCCTGCTCTCCCGGGCACTTCCAGAGATATTTTATGCGTCAGGAGTTAGTCTCCTCCAGGGGGGGCTGTCTGTCCACTCCGTTTCTGGACTCTCTGAGTGTCATTAATAATTGATTTTTCTAATAGTCACCCAACTAAGCGGACCCTTGCAGCCTAGGGCATTGAGCAAAGCCCACACGCCCTGCTAGGCGGTGTGCAGCCCGCACGGAGACGTAGAAGGGAGCCACGGAGGTCTGACACTGCTCCTCAATCTGCTCCAGGATTCTTGTGTGCCCTGAATCACCAGGGTCCCTGTTTAAAGGAGATTTGTAGGTCTGAAGCTAAACCTACGGAGTCACACTTGAGGATGATTCAAATACACATGTAAATTTGAGAACATTTGTCTTAGAAGGTTGTGCCCACATTCTGGTTAAGGAGTGATACTGTGCAGTATTGAAAGGAGAAGAGAAAGACAATAAAAGCCAGGAAGGGCTTGGGGGCAATTGGTCTTGAGGTCGACTGGGGACAAAAGCATTAAATTAGCACAGAGTTGGGAAATTCTTAAAGAGGCCGGGAGAGGGTGGAGAGCAAGTTAGAGTGAGTCACAGAAGCTGGCCAGAGGGGAGTGTCTTGCCAGTGGTAAAGGCCAAGCTACAAAGTACTTGACTAACAGTTCCCCTCCAATATACTGTTGCCTATTTTTAGCATCTCTGAAATTTCTACCGCTCCCAGTTTTCTCCCCAAGTAGATTGGCCTCTACTGTAGCACGTTTCCATGGGAACCCTAATTAAACTGTCCGAAGTGTTTATATTCCACGACGGGACTATATACTTTTCAGAAAGTAAAAAAAATAACAAACCATTTTCTCTTCATATTTATGTATTTCTGCCTGGCCCAGAGTAAGAGGCTAGCACATATTAATTTAATAACCATATGTATTCAATGACCAGGAGAACAAGTAAAATAGAAAGAATTAATGACTTGACATACAAGCTTGGAATCTGTCCTTCAAGAAATCATTCTGGGTTCTGCATCCGAACAGCACCCTTAAATCAGCAGAAGCAGCGTTCTGCAGAGTGGACCGCGTGGAGGGAAGGCCCCAGTGCTGCTGCAGAGGGGAGTGTTAGGGGGTGCTGTAGGAGAGGGAAGAGCTGAGTCCTACTGCAGAATCTCGGAGATTTGCTGGCTGCTCCTTGGGAGCCAGAGCGAGGCATCTGTTAGTTATGTAACTCCAGGGTTAGACTACGGAAACCAGTGGTGCTGGGAGGTGTGCAGACAGGTTGGAAGGAACCCTGCCGTAGGGAGGGGTCGTGAAGAGAAGACATGAGTTTCTGTTGGACATTTTAAATTTGAGGTGACATCCAAGGGCATAGACCTGGCCATACCAGGCTGAAGGTAGGCAGAGAAATCTCGAGGTGGGAGATTTTGGAATCTTTGGCCCAGGAACAGAAGCTGAAGCCAGGAATCGGAGAAAGCCAGCTGAGGGAGGGTGTGGAGCCAAAGAGACAGTCAGACTTAGAGGAGATGCAGAGGGCACAGTGCCCCGAGGCCAAGGGAGGATAGGACATTAGTCAAAAAGACTTGACCCCCAAAGGCTGTGAGGTAGTGTGGCCCGTATGTGTTTGGTTCTGCTTCTTCTTATTGTTTTGATCCCCTTAATCTTTTGGCTTTGTGTTGTTGCCAGAAATAAAATCAGCAGCAGAGATGGTCAGGAAGGATGGCTGAAATACAGTAAGAATAACATCATAATGGTTGACTCATACGTACCACACCTAAGTGTTTTCCTAGGCTGGACACATAGGCTAGTGGTAGCACTGTTTCCATACAGACGACCTTGATTCATTTGTCCCCCAATCAAGTTCTGCTTGTGTCTTCCCCTGTGCACCCCCTCCTCCATTTCCAAAAGGGCTGGTTCAGCACCTTGGGGATCCCCTCTGCGCCAGCGCTCCACTCTTGAAGTTAAACTTGAACTGGTGGGAGCTGGGCTTTGTCCGTCTGTGTGCCTCCTCCGACGGCCCAGCCCTTGTCCTTGCATCTCTGTGCATGGCACACGAAGACAGGCCACCAGGTCCCTTTTCCACAAAGGATGCCTGCTGCCAGAAAACATCAATTCAAATGACATTAGATCATTGTCAACATCCTATTAGAGTATTAGCTTTCAGCCCAAATTACCTGAAATAGCTCTGTTTCCAGTTTAGTCCAGCATTTGTTCCAATTTCTAAGTCAGGCGCTGAGACAGTTCACTTTTAATTAGCACACATTTTCCTGTTCAAAGGTAATTGCCAACACATTTACAGCCGATAGGAAATAACTGTAAGAATATTTACTTCTCCCAAAAGTTCATTCCCAAAAGTTCCTGATGCCATCTGATGCTCTCACTGCTTACTTTCCTTTCTCACTAAACATGTCGGTAATGTGCTCCTTCAGTTCCAGTCCGTTCCATTTTATTTCGGCCGTTCCTGCATCGTGACTCGGGCTTTCCAGCTCTTACAAAGCCTAAAAAGCAGACTTTGGACTTGGAAACCCTGAGTCTGAATCCTGCCTTTTCCCCTTGACCTGGCCTGTTGACAGTCTTTGACCTCTCAAAACTTAATTTCCCTCAATTGCAGACTCCAGAGACATCCCCTTGTGTGGTCACATTTCCTGAGTCTGTGCAAGGCAGCCCTTCTCACTCCGGGTTAACCTTTGGAACCACCAGGGAACCCTTAAAGAACATTTTTGGAGCGGGATCCCACTCCCAAGATTCTGACATAATTTGGTCTGCAGCACGGCCTGGGCTTGTGCTTGTTTTAAAAGCCCCTCGGGAGCTTCTTCGTGCAGCCAAGGTCAAGCTTCACTGCTTCGGGAAAGAGAGGAAGGAAAAGGAAGGTCTAGGTCAGAGTGGCGTGGCCCTCATTAGGCCATTTCTGTTGCCAGTCAAGCTCCTGTGTTTCACCATTGCTGCACTCTGAGCTGTAGAGTAATTTTTTTCACTCCCATGCTAGCCAAAGGAGTTGAAAACATGCGTTAAAACAAGTTAAAAGGATAAGCCTCTACTCCAAACGATCATTACCTAACCCTTTCTGTGCCAACCAGGCCACTGTGCAAGGCACACTTCCCTTATCTTCCCCGGGAGCCAAATGCCACAGTCTCCTGTGCTCTCTAAAGAGAATTGCAAATGGGTAGAGACCAAATCCTGGGTTAACGAGGTTATTCGTTCTTGATTAAGTCAAACAGCAGGAAACTCTTCTTAGAAACACTATCATTTTAAACAATTAGAGGAAAGTATAATTTATCATTGTTATCTACTAAAATGCTAACATTTAACACGGGGTGTAGTTAAAGCTGCTAAAAGGAAGGGAAGTTCTTTTAAACATAGCGGCATTCTAGTTAGTGAGGTCCTCTGCAAGACTGTAACGGCAAGTGGAATTGAACCCTACTTATTCCCGTATACCTTGTACACGTAAAATGAACTTAGTAAACCTTTTAGGGGAAGAGGAAGACAGGGAGGGAGGGAGAAGCCGAGGAAGGGGAGAGAGAAACATAAAGGATATAAAGATAAGGAACAAACACAGGTAAATCAAATTATTAGAAGAAGCTCTTTATAGTAGTTTGGGGAAAAACCAGTCTCGTTTCTCCCCCTGGCTGTATGCACACACTTGCACTTGACTTTGTGACTTCTCCCAAAAGAGGTACAGACTTTCTCCACTCCTTAATCAGGGCTGGCCTTGCAACTTGCGTTGGCCAATGGGACCATGACCAACATTTTGCATGCAGAGACATAGGAGATGAGACAAAGCCTGGGGAGAGGCCCCAGTCCCCCCAATGCTGTCACCATAAACGGGCCAGCCACTGCTGACCCACCAGCTTTGCACGTACTCAAAAGTGAGTCCAGCCAAGGCCAGCAGAGACCCCAGCTGAGAGTGGTCCAGGTTGTCCACACACACAGCAGTCTCTGGGTGGGCAGCCCAACACCTCCCAAAGGGACACTGGGGACACCGTAGCCTAGATCAACGCGCCTGTTCATCCAGAATTTGAGCTAGAGATACAAAGAAAGCTACAAGTTGGAGCAGAAACAAACAGCCTCCAGGAAGGGAAGGGAAGGGAAGGGAAGGGAAGGGAAGGGAAGGGAAGGGAAGGGAAGGGAAGGGAAGGGAAGGGAAGGGAAGGGAAGGGAAGGATGGTGCATGGAAGCGTAGGGCTGAGTAACATGCTGTGTCTTATCTGTGCCCTCAGTTCTGCTCTGAAAGAGTCATGAATGAGAATCTGTCAACGAGGACAGTGACCTTCAGGGGGACAAAGGTGAGGGCTTCCAGGTCCAGCTTCCCTCTCCCTGGGAAGTTTTCCCCTCCGACAGTCAACCTCAGAGGATTTCGGATTTGCTTTTTTATGGAAGAAGTCAGTCTTACTAATTTACAGAAGTCCTCAGTGGGAAAAGGGACAGGTCCTTGAGTGTGGTGATAAAGAATAACTAGGAACAGCAGAGAGAGCATCTTGAACCAAGTGTGTAGAGTTTATAAATGAAAGAAACAAACTGAGGAGGAAAGAAGTTTGTAGAGATAGATATTTAACAGC